ACTTACGGACGTGCATGATTTATTCTGACAATGTACGTTTCCGTTCAATTCTGCGAACAACATTAGTACTGTCTACTTATACAAGTTATTGATGTTTACTTAATTATTTTTTATAGAAGCATGTTACGATAAAAGACGTTAAGATATAGATCGAGCATACAAAAATACATAGACGTATACATATATTTTACGTAAACTTCATTTGTTATATCTAATTATATTGAATATAATTTAGAAAATAGTTAAAATATCGATAATAAGTTAAATAATCGAAATTTATAGTAATAGTGAAACAATGAAGTTGCATAAGAATTCATTCGTAAAGATGTTCGCACGGTTAGATTTTTCTCATAATAAATATATTTTCCATATTATCTAAATAAAAATACCTTAAACGATTCATAGCGACATATCACCTTATCCATAGCTACAACGACGAACGAGCAACAACGGTAACCTCGTTGACATCCGCTTACGTATACGACGCCCTCACGCTTTGCATTGAATACGACGATTACATACGTTAAACCGAAGAATACATATGCATCGTTTGAATGATCGATCGCTTTAGAAGACTACGACGACGACTACAACGACGACTACAACGACGACTACAATTATGACGACTACGATAAGAACCAAAATCGCATAATTATTATTATTTTTCACAGTTGGCCCATTGATACTCCACGTGCTGGGTTATTGTCGCCTTCATACATTCGCGTGTGCACTACCGTGAAACAAAATTTTCAAGATATAAATTGAGATTATTTTATAGAAAAGCATGTGCTATCTTGATGCGAGGTTACCGTCGTCGTTGGTATTATTAGAGAAATTTAATCTTGTTCTCTGAAGAGTCTTCCTTCAATTCGAGACGTAGTTTTCGTCATCGATAACTTCATGAATTTTAACTTATCTTTCCAAGATGTTTCCATCCAAGATGATAAAAATAGAATGATATATTTGTATTTCCATTAGAAATGCAATCTTTTAAGAGAAGAAAAGTTCCTATTTCTGTTGATCGATCGATCGATAGTTAAAATAATAGCACAACAATCTCTATGAAATATTAAATGGAGCCCTATTTTGGTTATAAAAATACGATATTAATTATTATTATTATAATAGTAATCAAATTCAATTTAGTTTTATTTTCTCTTATATAATCTCTCTTCTTAAAATAATCTTCTTCCTTCTTAGCAACGACGAAAAATTATTTCCATAGATTCGTATCTTCAAAACGAATAGAAATTAGAAGACTTTCACTTCCTTCCCAAAATAGTTCGTAAAACATTATTGGATTCCAACGAGTAGCCTTCGAATTTCATACAAGCAATATGATAGATTCCGATCATTAATATGCCACACATGATCGATGAACGAATAGACAGAAATTTTCAATTTCTTTCCAAGCATACCTATTCACATATTTTTTTATTATTATTGTTCGTGTACGTTACAAAAGCAACAATTATCGTGGAAAATATATGAACATGTGGCTAAGTCATAACGATATTTCAAGAATCCTCATGGTTTTTCTAACGATCTGTTTTTCCCATGATCGTTCTTTATTCTTTCCAAATTGATCATTCTCATATATGTAGTTATTATACTTCAAAAATGATTTCTTACCAGACAAAATCTTCGAAATATTTAACTGTTACGCAACGAGAATACCGATATCGTCCTACTTTCAATAACATTTTTACCTTCCCATAAACGACCTACATACAAGCTCTCGAACTTCGAACGTTTTACCAACGTAACAAGAAAATAGAAAATTTAACGTTGTCAATGTCAAACGAATCCCCAATTCAACGAATTAATCAATTTTTTCGAATTTACAAATTTTAAAATATACCAGATGTCTCAGATTTAATGTATAAAAATCTCATAAAAATACATATATTATTTTTAAAAAGGTCATATGAGAAAAACATTTAACTAACGAGAGATAAAAATACGAAATACATTCTCGTTTAACTACGAGAGAACGATAAAATACGAAATATGTTCTCGTTTAACTTAATTTCGTTGTTCCGAGGACGAAAGAAAACGTGAAATCATTTCATGGACACGCAGCCACGGTACGCCAAGCGTCGAAAGCACGTGGCGACGAGGCGAAACATCTTGGCGCTCAAGAGGGGTTCACACGAGTGTCCGCACGGAACACGGTTCGGGAATGAGCGTGCGCGCACGCGTGCCTGCCTTCAGAGCTTCCACGGTCGATCAAAATTATTTTCTACACTGTTGTAGGAGTCGATCGTTCGGAAAGAGAGAGATAGATAGATAGATAGATAGATAGATAGATAGATAGATAGATAGATAGATAGATAGATAGATAGATAGAGAAAGAGAGAGAGAGAGAGAAACAATAAAACATTGATTGAAAAGTGAAGGAAATCGGATAACAAGGATCAAAAGAAATATTTGTTGATGTATACTTTGACCACGTGGTCTACTAAACTTTCTCATCGTCTCTATTATCTTTGACAGACAAATTCTCCCCTACGTCTACTTTCCTACGAGAATAGAATTAATTCTAGAGAAGCAAATTACGAATGTTCCGCAACGTATGTACGTATTACGATCGTGCTTGTAAAAGTGTCGAAGGACGTTTGAATAAAAGGAAGAACATGTTGTCGCAAATGTTTCAATATGGTCTTTTCCTTCTCTGCTAACTTCTCTTCCCCCTCTCTCTATCTCTCTTTATCGAGACGTGAATTAAATTTTCGATATATCCGGATAATAAAAGAGACAGAAGTTCATAACGGAGGTAATAATGCGAACATAAGAGAGCGCTACTACATAATCGTGTCTAAATATGGAACGGGTCACGGTCGTACGAGCACTCGCGCTCGTTCGTTCGTTCGCGTTTCGTCCTTAAAGATCGTGAGACCAACTTCAGCGCAAAACATTCTCCTCCTCCTCCTCCTCCTGCTCTTCATCATCAACCTCATCCCCCCTCTCTCTATTTCTTTCTTGCTTACTCCCTCTATCTTTCCCTCTCGTGATACAAGTCGGTCGAGGGGAAGTAAACAAGTCGACGAACCGGACATTTTCGTATCTTCTCAGTCTCTCCTCGGAAGTCGTTTTTCTCCAAACCTACATACAACGTATTATCCTTAATTTTTAACTTTATTTAATATATATATATATATATATATATATATATCGTTGAGTTATTAAAAAATATTCCACGATTTGTTACATTGCATCCAATATAGTTTTAATCCTTTTGCGATCCAATGTCGACTCCAACTCGAGATCACGTCTCGCTCAAGCAAGTTATATGTCTCTAATCACTTTGCAAATATTTCATACAAATTTTATATGTAAATGAATATGTTGTTGTATTAGTTATTAAATTCTAAAATATTGGAACAACGGCAAATTACTTAACCATAAGCGATAGTGGAAAGCACAATACGAATAGATGAAAATAACTTGGACCGCAAATATTTAAACGTCATTTCGAAACAAAAAGATATCTATGGGAAAATATCTATTTTGTAGGACATAAGAAGAACCCATGATGTTTGAATAAATGGAGAAAAATATACGATATGAGGACGAAAAATTTTCTGTAAATATACATACCTACATACGTTCTTCTCAAGATAGAATATAACTCGGAACCTTTCACCGGTATTAGTAGTACGCGAGTAAAGTCGTCGCTCCATTCTCGTTTACTCTCGCTTATTCAACAACGGGATCGTGGGCTCGTTGGATCGCTCGTTTCATTGATAGCCCTGGTGCGCGAGCACGACCATGACTCGAACGTCAATTACGCCTCGCATTTACGATAATCATTTGTCCACGTGGACGAGATGAGTTATAATTATCTGGTCGTGAAATTTAGTCAGGTTCTTTCGCCGTTCCTTCCGTTGAGAAAATATATATATATTCGTATATCTCTTTCAGTGATTGCTCCGACGTTCGCGTACCACGTGTATTTCTCTCCCCCCTCCTTTCTCTCTCTTTCTTTGATCTGTTTCTTCTCTCACGAGAAACACGATGTCGACCGGGAATGCGGACGGCTTCGCCGTTTTATCGTGCGCGCATACATAACTCTTCCTTGCGCAATCGAACAAAATGCCTGCCAAATTTTACTTCCAATCAGAATGCTTCATTTTTATTCCAAAGACTGTTGTTCCGCGAGTTTGTTTGACATTCGGTCACAAGCCACGTGGGTAAGTATAGAAAATCAAAGAATTCCTTTTGAATCTTTTTCTTTTTTGTTTACAGCTAGAAGTCGAGTGTTGTTTTTAACAAATAAGAACGTTTGCCCTCGTTTTATCATTGACGATGAAATTGTGAACAGAAAAGATAAAAAAAAAGGGGAAAAAAAAAAAGGAAAAAAGTATATTACATACATAAAACGAATGGAAAAAGTGAAAAGAACAAAATGGCGATGAGATAACGAGGAGAATGGAAGAACGAAGAGCGAAAATTTGAAAAGTTGACCATGCGACTTCGATGAGACTCCTGCGGTTTTCTCCGGTAAAAGAAGAGAGAAAGAAGAGATATTCTTCGTCGGAAGAACGATGAAGGGGAAGAACGAACGACAAATCCCACGGACCAGCCCGGCCTGGCAAACAATGACGAGAGTGACAGCTGCAAGAGCACAAGACGGGACCTTTCCCCTTTCTCTCTCCCTCCCTCCCTCCCTCTCTCTCTCTCTCTCTCGCACGCCTTGATCGCCGTTTTTGTTGCTTTCGCTCTCTTTCTCCCTCTCCCCTTTTCTCTCTTCTCCTTACCTGGCGAAAGTGCGTTCGTAGCAGCGTTCGCGGTTACCGCCGACTGTGAAAATGACGGGGACTCATCGTCGTCTCGAGACATCGTCGTCAATGAGTGATTTCGATCAACTGAACGAGCGTGACGTCGATGACGATGATGATTTCGATGATGATGATGATGATGATGATGATGATGATGATGATGACGATGCTGATAACGTTGTAATTGTTGCGAATCTTGTTGCTGTTGTTGATGCATACCTGTCCTATCGCCGTTCATTCTCTCCTCCAGATGCAGCGCAGCGGGTGGTAGCATCGCTTCCTCCTCCAACGTGCCGGAGCTCCTTCGAAAAAGTTTCCCCTTCTCGAGGTGTCCTCTCTTTTTCTTGTGCTTTGTTATAATACGGAAAAAAAAAAAAGAAAAAAGAGACCCGACAAGGTGGTGGTGGTAGTAACGCGACTAATGGCAAAGATAACGAATTTGTGTCGTACTACGACGGACAACATGCAAAAACAACGGCAAGACGATTATTATGCGCACGTTTTATGGAGAACGAGGGATGATATGGTGTCATGCGTACAGTAACGCACGTGTGAAACGAGTACACACTGGAATGCGAGGAATTATATACAAAACACGCCTTCCTCTTCAAAAGAATCTCCCAGTGTCACTTTTAATCCTCTTCGATGTTAACGTAAAGAAAAAAAAAAAAAGAAACGCACTTGCTTGCGAACCCTTTTTCTTTTTCTTTTCTTCTCTCACGTTCGATTGATCCACGACAAATTTAACGTCTTTCCAAAATCACCCCAGGTATCGTTGCACACGTATCAAACTTATCATTGGTCTTGGACGATAGCAACGAGTTGTCAACGATGATAAAGTCGGTTGCCTGTACGTCGTCGACGACGACGCGTTTCGGCGTTGTTTTAGCTTCTGAGGTGACTGCATTTGATGGATCTGAAACTGTGTTCGTATTCTATTTTTCCTCTTTACTCCTTCCTCTTTACCTTCCTTTTTTCTTTGTCGAATGTCTTCCGATCACACACACTGACGGCACTATTTTCCAAACGCTTCGTAACAGAGTATTAACTGTCTATCTATATCTCTCTTTCTCTCTCTCTCTCTCTTCTTCTTTCTTGCATTCGCTTATCTTTTTGCTACTTTGATAAAACTCGAAATGTCTTACGTAGTAGTTGTCCTTCAAAAATATCGACAGGACGACGGCAGAATAGTATAATCGCGGCAATTTTTTTTTAAGATATCAAAGAGAGAAAAAAAAGAAAGAATCGAACAATATTAACGCGTATTGTCTCCTACGGGCCATTGTTTATACGAAGGAGAAAGGAACGCATAGAAGGAAAACAAAAAAAAAAAAAAAAAGAAAACCACCGGGATCTGTAAACTATGACGTTTCACGCTACGAGCGATCCCTTCTCCTTCTACAAAGATCGAGACACGACTGAACACGTCACACCGCGCCGACGCCGGCTTGACAGAAGGCCTCCCTAACGGTAGACCGGGACGCTGGAGTTTTTTGCTTTCGTTAAGTTCTCTCCCCTCTCTTGCCTCCGCTATCCCTACCATTGACGCAATCAAATATCCCCACTCCTTGCTCCTACTGGCGCCACATTCGACGCTTCCCCCACTAATGACCGCCAGTTGGCGGGAAAACGTATCCCGTGACAGCTGCTACGTACGAGTGAGAGGCCGAGAGAGGCTCGGTCCACATCGGCTCCTTCTGATTCTACTCTCTGCCTCTCTCCCTCCTCTTTTTTTTCTAACCCGCGCGTCTTTTCGTGACAGTCTTCCTTCCTTCTTTATCGAGTTTCTAAACTACATCATATTCTCTCTCTCTCTCACCCCCACTCTCATTCATTCACTCTTTTATTGTACGAACTTTTTTTCGTTCTGTTCGATGTCTGTACTCTCCATAAGGGAGGTTCAACCTAACATAGTTTTTTATAGAATATCCTTAATGTACCTGTACCTGCTTCTCTCTGCGATTCCATTGACGCTCAAGAGACACAAAAAAGATGGCGGCGTTTGAAACTTTTATTTCCCGCGCTTTCTTCTATACGTAATAAAATCTTTCACTGAGTTTCTTCAAGAGAGACGACGTCGTCTGAAGGAAGAACAATGTTTTCCCTCACTTTTTTTAATGACTTTTTATTCTTAAATGAAACGACGATAGCAAAGATCAATTAAATGATCATTCAATTGAATGAACAGAAACGAAAGAATCTAAATAGAACAATGAAAAGGAGACATTATTTCTCCATTTTTCTATTATACATATACAGGTACGTTAAGGTGATTCGTAAGAAAATCATTTTGTTAAGTTAGGAGATATCCCGATTCTTTGTCCATTTAGTTTCCATTTTTTGATAGGTTCGGAAAAAAGAAATAAAAAAGAAAAAAACGAAGAAGTTGGGTTATGCATAAAGAAATATCGAATACCTTTTAGAGTAATTTCAACGAAACGAAAAAGTCCTCTTTAAATTTTGTCGCTTAGGTTTATCGAAAAGTGATTATTCGAGGACATCCGCTGCGAGACTAGAGGAACCCGAGTTGGATGTAAATCTAACGCAAATATCTTCTCTCGATTCACGAGGCGAGGTAATGAGATTTCCGGTTGAACGAACGATACGCCTTATCTTTAACGTTACTAGTCTTATTGGATAAGCGTCTTACAAGTGCGCAAGTAATGGTATATAACGCGGTAACAGTTTAACAAACAGTTAACAAACTCGGTTGTTCAGGAATCAAGAAGAATTTTATTTCATAATTATGAAAGAAATCGAAATACTGGAAAATGAGATTGTTTTTTTTCCTTTCTTTTTTTAATAGGAAGAAGAAACAAATCGTATAAATATATAATTTCAAAAAGATCCATTTTTTTTTTAGAGCTTTGACCATAGAAGAAGTTAGTTTAGTTGACAATTTCAGGGCTGACGTTCGATTTCAATAGCAGCAGAGACGGAAGTCGCATGAGAGAGAGGGAAGGAAAGAATGGCAAGCAGCAGCTCATGTGAAGAACTCGTCAACGGTAGCTGACGACGATAGGCAGTTGATACATCGTCGTCGGCTGTCTCTATCAGTAAGAAAGAAGGGAAAGGAGAGGAGAAACAGCAAGTGAAGCGAAAGAGGAGGAGGAGAAGGTGGGAGAATAGGAAGGAGAAGAGGACGCTTCGAAGACGTTGCGCAACTGAGGACTTACATAACTTCGATACGAGCGCCACTCTCTTGCTTTCCCCTCCTCTCCACTCACCCCACTCCTTCTTCGGCTTGTCGAGGTACTTTACGTGCGAACAGCACCCCCACTTCTTACTTTGACGAGCACGCTCTTAAAACACGTGTTAGCCTTGCCAACAGTCCTGCGCTATAAGCTTTCTTTTTCGATTGTCAAAATCTTATTTAATTTTGGACATATTTTACTTATCCATATCCTTTCAAAATAATGATGAAAATTTTAAAAAGATTCGCGAAAATGATTAGATTAAGATCTATATAGATATTTTTCGGAAATAAAAAGAAACACACATAGAAAAAAAAAATAGGAAACGCGCGAACGTTTAGAAAATCAACTAGAATAACAATATCACGTGCTTGTTACCGTTCGACCGATAGTACAAATATCAATGAGAAAGATAAGAGAGCTTGACACATTTCTTTTTATAAAGTTTTAATAAAGAAATCGTTAATTGCATAATTGAATATTTTTTATTTGTTTTTCTCGACGAGTACTCTAATTACCGTTCTCGACACGCTAATCTGTTATTCTACGTATGCCGTTCATTCATACATCGATTGTATGATGAAATAGCGACCATATGATACGCTCGTGTGATCCTTAAGACTTCATACGGTTTTATTCGTAATGTCAGCAGCAAAAGAAGCAAACAGGTGCCAACTGGTGTCACCACAAGTCATACTTCTTCTTTTTCTTTTCTTTGCACGCATAACGATCTGTGAGAAATTAAAAAAAAAAAAAAAAAAAAAAGAATTAGATACCAAGAGGAGCGAGTATTCCATTCCTTTCTCGTTGTTACGTAAAGTCAACCATATCTGCCTCTTTATCTTTGTCTTTCTCGCACTTTTAGCTTTAGGTGAGGAAGAGAGAAAACGCGTGTGCTCCGACACTTTCGATTTATGAATGAATCGTGTACCATACATGCGTGTACATGCAAGCGCGTAAGAATTGGCCGGGTTCGCTAGCATTTAACGAGCAACAAGTCGTGCTCGAGTGAACGCGTATATGACGAAGACGACAAGGAGGACGTGCGTCCACCTTCTTCCGTTTTGTCAACCAACACACGCTTCTAGACAATCGATATTATTGCATAACGTGCTTTCAAATGAATTGAGATTCTATCGAAATGAATGTAAAGGTTATTGTTAAGATCGTAATACAAGTTTTTCAACAATATTATAACAATCATTGGATATTTGTCTGTTTGATAATTTTTATAAATTTTTAATGATTATAGAAAAGAAAAGATAAAGGAGGAAAATTAAAAGGAAATTAATAATCCATTCTTGTCCTAATTATAAAAATAGATGTATAAATAGAAACGAATGTAGTACATTGTTCCCCGAGTTAAATGGATACAAAAAAATTTTACTTTTGTTAAATCCGATGGACGTCAAATTTTCTTCTTCTTCTTCGAAATACAAAGAAGATATATTTTGATATTATTCATTGGTAAAATTTAGAAGTCAATTATATTTTGAACGAAGCGTTTACGGGGATACTTCGAAAAAAAAAAAAAAAAAAAAAAAAAAAAAAAAATATTGTTTCTTGCTTTTGATGCCCTAAATTCATATTTTAAGTTTGGCCATTTAATCCAGGGTACATCCTGTATAATAATTATCAACATATATTTTTTAATTCGAAAAAAAAAAAATTGTTTTTTTTTTCCTAGATATGTACTTTTACTCTTAAACGAGGAATTTACATTCAAGCAGAATCATCAGAGAAGTTTGCCTGTAATATCGTAACTACGAATATCCTTGGATCGCGTTTCGTTGAATAAGCAGTAGAAGTGATCCCATTGCCGATAGAAATAACGTGTGTATATATACATGTGTGTGTGTGTGTATGTGTGTGCATGCGTATGTTTATATAGATGCTTTCATTTGAATGCACGTAAAACTTCTATTTTTGATGGACATATATTTTTCCGTATTGCTGCTCTTTTATTAAATCACATTTCTATGATTTAAGAACAAAATAAAAGGAAGTAGTCAAGAAAAATCACAATACAACGGCAACAATTATGACGATGATAATAATCATTAATTGATCAAATAAAAAATATCTAGTCGTTCGAGCTATATCCGTTGACATTTTTCAATATTTTCATCCTACTTGCATTATCTTTGAACTGGTTGTTATTGCCAACGATATAATTCGATATTATAAAATGCGACTTTTTATACGAACGATACGACAGATAACCCTTTCGACGTAAGTCAACGAGCAAGCATATGAGAAGCCAATATTCGACGTTTAATAGTTGGGCCACGCGAGAATATTATTCATATATATGCGCATTCTCCCTGATAATGGAAAAACACACACATATATATATATATATATATATATATATATATATATATGCGTATAGTTATATAGCTGTGATGGTATAAACTATTAAGTGGAAGAAAAAAAAAGAAAAAAAAAAAAGAAAAGAAAAGAAAAGTTCGCACGAGGAAAAAGCAAATTCATATCGAACAACTACGGCGTCGATGCCGACGTCAACGAGTCCGTTTTACGATTTGACAGTTCCCGGACTTATTTTTGACGTAACACGACTGTTCGAAGTTCTTCCATAATCACAAACAGAAGAGGTTTTTATTTATCTTATCGCCTTGACGGTTATATCGGGAGTCATATATTCATTTTACTTTAACGCGTCGCGAGAACGGTCCCACAGGTATATGCTTCTATCCGCCTATCTTCTCTCTCTCCTCTCTCTCTCTCTCTCTCTCTCTCTCTCTTTCTCTCTCTCTTTCTCTCAACAAGAAAGAGAACTCTTGTCGAAAGAGAGCGAAAGAGAGGAAAAGAAATAGAGATAAGAACGCCCGCATCCAGTTGTCAGAGGAACACAGATAGCTTCTTCGTTCCAGTCGCTTTATTTTTTCTTAGCACCCCTTTAAACTTTATAATCGCCTAATATGAATTTTAACGATAGCGTGAATCATGATAACGTGATAACACACGTATATCACAGTTACAAGTTTATCTTTGGTATGTAATATCTGCGAGTAGATTTTTCACTGAACATACTTTCCATAATAATCTATTATTCTCTTTGGCTAAGACATATATCTTTCTACAGATATAATTGTTCAAATTTATATATGTAATATACACAGGATCAAAAGTATTAATTCAAAATACTTTCACTGTCAAGAATATCGAAGATAAATTTGTAGATTATGATTCAGCCAAATCTTACACGTTTGGATATATTAAAAACAGTAAATTATTAGAAAAAATACAAAGCAGCAATATATCTTTTGAAATATTTCCAAGTCTTGAAAAATATTTTGAAAAAATAATTTTTAAGATAAAAAAATTTATGATTATGATATATGGATGAGTAATGATAGTTGGACAAAATAATAATGTTATACAATAGACAAAAATAGTCCATAATAATCTAGTTTATTTTAATGACCAAAATAAATCGATAAGTAAACAGTTTATCATTATGTAAATAAAATATTTTGTTATATTTATAAATATCGAACAAAATAACAATGTTAATTGAATTATTTGAATATGAATTTTTCAAAATAATGGACAATCTTGACATTAATCAACCATTCTAAGACCGGTTTTAGAAGTACTTAATTTTAAACGGGATACCGTTATAACTATTATAGTAACGTCCGAGTGAAAATCTTCTTATTTTAACTTTCTCTTTCTTTTTCATTTTTGGTCAATATACCTGAAAATAGTAAGTACAGAGAACATGTTTCTTATTTCTAATACTCGTCGTAGTTAGTAGTATATCCTAAGGGTAAGAATTCCATTCGTTCACAGCATGCAACAGGAACATGGTTACCGGTTGTTGGAGATGGTAGGTTCCTAAGAAGAACAAAACTAAATGCATGTGCTCATTGTAAGCCGTGTCACTGTGTAAATGGGAAGTCGAGAGGTTAAGAAAATAATAGTCAAACTCTCTCTCCTTTTCTATTTTTCTTTCTTTACTTATTTCTTTGTCTTTAAAGTATTGGCTCGTAAATCACGTCGAATGAAAAGAGAGGAAAAAGATTTAAAAGAAGCTGCGTGAATAAGGACGAAATTAACTTCGACTTTCATTTCTTTTTATTTCCTCTCTTTTTGTATTTTTATTTGTTGTATTAAATCGATCATAGATCAAATATTATCAAACATTCACTCTTAAATCATAACGTTTACCTCGTTTCTTCTTTCATTTATTATATATATAATATAATATAATATATATATATATATATATATATATATATATAAAAGAGAAAGAAGTAAAAGTGCACGTTTACAATTTTTTTTTTTAAGAAGGTTACGTTGGATCGATCGAAATCGTGTTAAAAAATCTTTAGCACATTTCACACCTTTTCCCCGAGCTCGAACATTAATTGCCTCTTACGTTTAGGTGTTATATCGATGATACGCCGAACAGAACGATTTTAACGTTAATATCATCGAGATTTCGTAGTCGCAGGATCGACTACGATTTTTAGTGTGACATTTGTGAAGTGTAAAACAAGTTCTACGTATTTGTTTATTTATAACGATTTTAATAAATCTCAAGAAACAAGTTGACTTACTAAGTTAGCCCGATCAAGGATCGAGGAACGCAAGAAGACAGAAGTCCTCGGTTCGTTGATCCAAGTTCGACTCATCGGAGCTCGAGAGCTTGATCTAAGTTTAGTGTAACGCTTGTAAGAGGGACCAATTCGGCGTACCGTTCGTTTTTCATCGTCGGTAACCACGACCTGCATTACGTTCTATACGAGATACATATAAGACAACACCGTAAACGAAAATAGCTTTTCGTATACACAGATGCTTTGCTCTTTGCGAAAAGCTCCGCGAACACTTGACGCCTTTCTCTCGATGACAAGTCCTACCTAATGAAACGAATTAACCGTCATCCATCATCTTTTCGAACGTGACACAGTAGTATTATAGCGAAATCTTGTCACTTTTATAGTAATATGATGAATTTTGTCCGGTTGATATAGATTTTAAGATATTGTTGATTATATTTAAAAAAAATTTTATAATTTATACATATTTATTATAGTAATGTTCACAAATATGATGTACATATATATATACACACTCACATATATATATATATATGATATATACATACACATTCAATATGTATAATAAATTTGATTAATTTTGATAGCTAATAAATCGTTAAGATATAAGATCCGATTATTTATAACGTATGTAAAATATCTATTCTATCGAAAGTAATATTTCAAAAATCAACTATCCTACAATTATCTAATTAATCATCAAATTAATAAACGAATGAGTTTGAGTAAATCTACAAGGCTTAACAAGCATCTACAGAATAGCAAAACCATAACAGATAAAAATAATAATTATACTATGATGTGAATAACCATGGACTTTATCC